TGGATGCCTCGGTAAATGGGACATTGCTGGATAAATCACCTACTGAGGCGTTTGCTATATTGGACAGAATTGCTAATAATGATTATCAGTTTTCTTCCTCAAGGCTTGGGAGTGGAATGAGAACACCTGGAGCATTTGAGTTAGATACCAAGGATTCGGTGTCCGCTCAACTCTCAGCCATCACTAATATGTTGAAGACCTTATAACGTTCCACTGATGTGAAGGAAGTGAAATCAACTAGCCTGGCATGTCTGTTATGCCAAGGCAATCATCACGAGAGCGAATGCCCAACCAACCATGAGTCCATCAACTTTGTAGGTAATTATAATCGAGGCAACAACAATCCTTATTCTAACACTTATAATGCTGGATGGCTTCAGTATCCCAATTTTTCATGGGGAAATCAAGGAGCCCACAATGTTAATCAACCTACTCGACAACAGAATCAAAATGAGCCTCAAGGTTACCAAAATACTATGCCATGGCATAATTCCAATAAAGGAGCTTCATCTTCAGCAAGCATGAGTTCATTGGAAGCTACAATTCAAGAGTTCATATCCACTACGAAGACAATGTTGCAAGACCATTCTACTTTAATTAAGAATCAAGGAGCTTTACTTCATAGTCAAGGCGCCTTACTTCAAAGCCATAGCTCGTCTCTGAGAGCTTTGGAAGGTCAAGTTGGTCAGATTGCTATGGATGAACAGGTCGTTGAATGAAAGAGCCAGATGTTTGCGGTTGAATGCGGAGCTTCCCAAACACTTCTGGCTGAGGCTATTAACATGGCGTGTTATCTTATCAATAGATCGCCAAGGGCATCATTGGCTGGGAAAGTTGCAGAAGAGGTATGGACTGGTCATGAAGTTAGTTTTGATCACTTACAAATTTTTGGTTGTCCTGCTTATGTGCATGTACCTGCTGATGAGAGATCCAAACTTGATGCAAAATTGAAGGAGTGCATTTTTCTGGGTTACAAGGAAGGTTGTTAACTTCCTAAAAAGGCTACTTTTAAGGCCTTTTTCACTTAAGTTATTGTTTGTTTAAAAGCTCATTTTAGGCATTTTAGGATCATGTAGTTGCATATAGTGCATTTGTGGTGGTTGTGCTATTTTATTTCTTAATGGTGCAGTTTGTTTGTGGTGTGCAGGGAATAGCAAGCAAAAGGATTCTTTGGGAAGCAATGTCACGGCATCACACGTTGCTAAAGCAGATTGAAATGCCTTGGCATTTCTGGCACAGAAAAAGACAAAAAAATATATCTCTGCATAAGGACAGCTGGCACTGGACAACTGTCTCTGCACGTGAAGGACTGCTGTAACCACCTGCCAAAGCTGCCAAATGACCACTACCACTTGGAGGATAAGGTTCACACCCAACATGTGATTCTAGGGGTATGAGGGGTATTTTGCACCCAACAACCTCATCATTACCCCTAGATATTTTTTATTATATATGACACCTCATGGGGAAGAAAAAAAGTGGAAAAAAAGGAGAGGACACATACGGTAGCAAAAATTAGATTTTTATTTTTCCTTTTCCCTTCTTCTTCATTGGATATTCCATTGATAAAGCTCCAAGGAGTGGCGAGCTAGGAGCCGAAAGGAGCTAGCGAGCTAGGTGGTTCACGGTGGCCGAGAGGAGACCTCCGGTGGCTCGTCGAAGGCTTCTTCTCAACTTCCCTTTTTGCTGCTATTTTATATTTATTTATGGGTTGTTGGAACAAATATTTTCATGACTTTGTGTTTGGATATTTTGAACCCCACCATGAACTAACTTATTTGGTGGTGGTTGATTTAATGGTTGTTTGAACTTTATTTTTAATAGTATATTTAAGTTTATTTTGGTTCTTTATTTGCTTTGCTTATGAATGCTTCACCATCTAGGCTTGTAAGAGGCATGGAAATGTCCATTTCTTAGATGAAGGTTAGGTATTCGGAAGAAACGCAAGATAAGATCCTCATAAGCAATGGGTTATAGTATTTTCAAGGGGCTTTGAACCGGCCTAGGAATATTATAACTTAATCCCTTAGATCTCGGAAGAAGCTAGGCTAGGATTTCAACGACTAAAAAATGTGTCTTTATCAATAGGGTAGGCTGGCCAACATCGTTGAGTGAGAGTAGATGCCTTGGCATCCTATTCTGTTAGGTTCTTTAGAACACTTTAGGAAAGCCCTGTCTAGTAAGTAAAGACCAGTTAGCTTAAATATACTTGAGAAATAAGTTTAGCATCCTTAGATCAATCCCTACCATTCATTCTCTTGGAAGCTTGTCACGTGAGGATTATTTTCTTTTCATTTTATCTTTATTTACTGTTTTTACCATTTTTCATTGCATTGACATTTCACCATACTCAACATTAAATAACCATCATTGCCATTGCATTTCCATTTGCTACACCATCAGACCATCACTACATATCCATCAGCATACATATTTACATTACCGTGACATTTGTATATATCAAGACTAACTATACTTTGATAATTTAGTGCATTGCTTTGGTTAGACTTTAGTAATTTCACCCAATCCCTGTGGAGACGATACTCACTCATCATTATATTACTTGAGCGATTATGTATACTTTCACATTATTTGCGTATAATTTATAGTACTCACAACACGCGAACAAAGGTGTCAAAGGATTCAAGTTCTGGGATCTATTTGCGAAGAAAATTGTGATCAGTAGAGATGTTGTTTTTGGTGAACAGTCCATGTTGTAGTAGAAGACAGGCACAACAGTGGTGAATTTCGAGCAGTTTCCAGTTGAGAAAATAAAAACTTCTCAACCGACTTCTGGTGGTTCCGCTACGGATGATTTGCAGGATTATAGTCTCACCAGAGACAGGGTGAGACGGACGAATATAAAGCCTCCGAACAGATTGGGTTTTGAAGACTTGGTCTATTTTGCACTTACTATTAGCAATGACGATCCGATTACTTTTCATGATGCAGTTACTAGTCAGGAAAACGACAAGTGGATGGCTGCCATGGTTGAGGAGATGGAGTCTTTGAATCACAATCGTACATGGGAGTTAGTTCCCCTTCCTGAGGGTAAGAAGTCGATTGGTTGCAAATGGGTGTATAAGAAGAAACCAGTAGTAACAGAAAAAAAAGAGAGAAGTTCAAGGCTCGCTTGGTAGCAAAGGGTTTTTCATAGCAGAAATGAGTTGATTATGATGAAATTTTTTCTTCTGTGGTCAGGTACACTTCAATCCGAGCAGTACTTGCATTGGTGGCTAGTTGGGATTTGCATTTAGAGCAGATAGATGTTAAAACTGCTTTTTTGCATGGTGATTTAGAGGAGCATATCTACATGCAGCAGTCTGAAGGTTTCACTCAACCTGAAAACGAGCATTTAGTTTGCAGATTGAAGAAATCTTTGTACGGGTTGAAACAGTCTCCGAGACAGTGGTATAAACGATTTGACTCCTATATGATCGCGATTGGCTACAATCGATGTGAGATTGATTGTTGTGTCTATGTTAAGAGCCTTGATGATGGTTCTTTTATTTTCCTGTTACTGTATGTTAATGATATGTTGATTACTGTGAAGAACATGGATGATGTTATCGATTTGAAAACCTTATTGAGTCAGGAATTTGATATGAATTTTTTTTCTCTTGTGGTCAAGCACACTTCAATCTGAGCAGTACTTGTATTGGTGGCTAGTTGAGATTTGCATTTAGAGAAGATGGATGTTAAAACTGCTTTTTTGCATGGTGATTTAGAGGATCAGATCTACATGCGGCAGCCTGAAGGTTTCACTCAACCTGGAAATGAGCATTTAGTTTGCAGATTGAAGAAATCTTTGTACGGGTTGAAACAGTCTCCTAGACAGTGGTATAAACGATTTGACTCCTATATGATCACAATTGGCTACAACCGATGTGAGTATGATTGTTGTGTCTATGTTAAGAGTCTTGATGATGGTTCTTTTATTTTTCTGTTACTATATGTTGATGATATGTTGATTACTACGAATAACATGGATGATGTTATCGGTTTGAAAACCTTATTGAGTCAGGAATTTGATATGAAATTTTTTTCTCCTGTGGTCAGGCACACTTCAATCCGAGCAGAACTTTCATTGGTGGCTAGTTGGGATTTGTATTTAGAGTAGATGGATGTTAAAACTGCTTTTTCCCATGGTGATTTAGAGGAACAGATCTACATGCGACAGCCTGAAGGTTGCACTCAACCTGGAAACGAGCATTTAGTTTACAGATTGAAGAAATCTTTGTACGGGTTGAAACAGTCTCCAAGACAGTGGTATAAACGATTTGACTCCTATATGATCACGATTGGCTAAAACCGATGTGAGTATGATTGTTGTGTCTATGTTAAGAGCCTTGATGATGGTTCTTTTATTTTTCTGTTACTGTATGTTGATGATATGTCGATTACTGCGAAGAACATGGATGATGTTATCGGTTTGAAAACCTTATTGAGTCAGGAATTTGATATGAAAGATTTAGGTGCTGCAAAGAAAATTCTTGGAATGGAAATTTACAGGGAAAGAGACTCAAGGAAACTGTGGCTATCTCAACGGGGTTATGTTGAGAAAATGCTAGAAAGGTTTGCGATGAGCAGCGCAAAACCAGTTAGCACTCCATTAGCGGATCACTTTAAGCTCTCATCAGAACAGTGCCCGAAGACAGATAAGAAACTGAAGATATGGAAAAGGTTCCATATTTTAATGTTGTTGGCTGCTTGATGTATGCTATGGTATGTACTCGTACCGATTTAGCTCATGTTGTTAGTCAAGTTTGTAAGTATATGTCTAAACCTGGTAAGCAACATTGGGAAGCAGTCAAGTGGATATTTCGATACTTAAAGGGTACTATAGGACATGGTATTGTTTTTGGTAGTCAAGGGGTAATCCTTTGGTTGTAGGATATGTGGATTCAGACTATGCAGGTGACTTGGATAATAGAAGATCTATGACAGGGTATGTTTTTACTCTTGGTGGAGGACCTATTTATTGGAAGTCTACTGTTCAATCTGTTGTGGCACTATCTACAACTGAAGCTGAATACATGGCAGCGGCTGAAGCTGCAAAAGAAGCTTTATGACTCACTGGTTTAGTGAGGGAGTTGGGTGTTCAGCAAGGTGGAGTTCAGTTGCTTTGCGACAATCAAAGTGTTATTCACTTGGCTAAGAATCAGGTATATCGTGCTAGAACTAAGTACATTGATGTACGTTTTCACATGATCAGAGAGTTGGTTGCATCTGGAGAGGTTTTGTTTCAGAAGGTACATACTGATAAGAATGCTGCTGATATGTTCACCAAGCCAGTTACGACAGACAAGTTCAAGCATTGCTTGGACTTGTTGAATGTTTCGAGTTGTTAAAGAAGTAAGGTAACCCAACCACATTGAATGTTTCCTAAAGGGTAGGATATTCGCCAAGGTGGAGATTTGTAAGGTATGACTCATAAATATACCGGTAAAGAGGACAGGGGATGGAGTGGAGTGAGCGAAGCGAATGCAGCGAACATCAACTATCCTTACAAATAAAGTCTCGTAGTGGGGGTTACGATTATGTGGGTTGGGGGTGCTGGGGCACAGCCCCCGCGGTATGGTACATGGTTAATTTTGTAATTATGTACCAGGATTTTCTATTATAAATAGAGATATAACCTAAACCTATGAGACATTGAATAAAATTTCTAGCGCCGCCTAGGCACCGAGGACGTAAGCACATTGCCGAACCTCGTTAAAATTCTTGTGTTCTTTCATTTACTTTTCCCGATTCTTCAACACATACTCATCCAAACGTCTTATGGGCCGAGGTAAGAGCAATGAATAAATTAAACCACCTTTGTTTTTGGTATATTCAATGACAATGAGTTTTTGACTAGGTCAGGTGGGTGATGGCGACACCGATCATTACTGTTGGCAGCGGCCCGAGGACATGACCACATCCTGGCAAGCCTACAAGGTGGATGAGAAGAACCCAGGATCGGATGTTGCAGGCGAGACGGCTGCAGTAATGGCATCCGCCTCCATTGTGTTTAGGAAAACAAACCCACATTACTCTCACCTACTACTCCATCATGCACAACAGGTAAACCTTGCCATCTTTCTTTACATATTGCATTTAGTATGTGCTATTGGTAACCAAAAACTCAAGTAATTAACTAATTTTATGCTTATAATTAATATTTTATTTTTTTTGAGTAAATTACATATTTGGTCATCCCACCAATTCTGTTTTGGTCACTTAATTATTTTAAAAAAAGTAATACATAATGTTACGTTTTTGTTTCGTTTGGTTTTGGTTAAAAAACACAAGTAAATTAACTATTTTTTGGAATTAAATTTTATGGGCAGTTGTTTGAGTTAGGGGACAAGTATAGAGGGAAGTATGATGAAAGTGTAAGGGTGGTGAAAGGGTACTATCCGTCGGTGAGTGGGTTCAAAGATGAGCTGTTGTGGGCAGCTTTGTGGCTATACAAAGCCACCGACAATGAGGCTTATTTGAGTTATGCTTTAGACAAGGCAAATGAATTTGGTGGGATCACTTGGTCCATGAACGAGTTCAGTTGGGATGTCAAGTTTGCTGGTCTTCAGATCATTGCTTCAATGGTAACATAAAATTTCACACTTTTTAAGTTCTGTTGTATTGATTATACGAAAGTTTCATTTCCGGTCGATTTCGGTAACATTTCATTATGTGTATGCAGTTGTTGGTGGAAGAAAAGCATAGGAAACTGGCATTCGAGCTTGTATTGAAACAATATCGTTCAAAGGCCGAGTACTATTTGTGTGCTTGCCTTAACAAGAGCAACGAGAGTAATGTGAAACGCACCCCGGGAGGTCTATTGTACGTCCGACAATGGAACAACATGCAATACGTATCGAACGCAGCATTTCTTCTAACCATATACTCCGATCATCTCCAAACATTGAATCGAAGGTTGATATGCGACCGCGGTGAGTTAGGATCGGAAGAAGTCCGCGTGTTTGCGAAATCCCAAGTTGATTACATCTTGGGAGAGAATCCGAAGGCCACGAGTTACTTGGTCGGATACGGTTCAAGGTACCCTCAAAGGATGCACCATAGAGGAGGATCAATTGAATCCTATGGCGAGAACAAGGGATTCATAAGGTGCACTCAAGGGTATGATAATTGGTTTCATAGAAAAGGACCAAACCCCAATGTTATTGTCGGGGCACTTATCGGAGGGCCTAACGAGAAAGATGAATTCAGTGATGATAGGAAGAATTTCATGCAAACCGAGGCTTACACTTATAATACAGCAAGCCTTGTTGGGGTTTTGGCCAAATTGCATGGTTTAGAAGATGATGGAGTCTTTAATAGTCCTTTGACTGCTTCTAGATAAAGTCCCCCAAAACTTGATTTCTCAAATGTTGTATACACAGGAAAAGATTTATTTTTTTGGGTAAACTATGCATTTAATACCTAAACTATCAATTTAGATCGTTTTAATACCTAAGCTTTTAATTATTTTCAAAATCATACGTAATGTCTAGTTTTTGTTTCATTTTAGTACCCACCATTAAAAAAATAATGCATTTAGTACCTAAACTATCAATTTCGGTTTTTTTTAGTACCTAAACGTTAAACTTTTTCAAAATTTAACGTTAAATTTTGAAACAAAAACTAAACTTTATGTATGATTTAAAAAAGATTAAAAGTTTAGGTACAAAAACGGATCTCAACTGATAATTTGGGTACTAAACATGTAATTTAACCTTTTTTTAGCAGATTCAGAGAAGTCCTTGAGTTTTGTCTGAATCTAAATCTCCTTTTGATATGATATACAATCTCCAATGTTAGTTTGGTACATTTAAAGATTCAGAGACCTATCAGTAATGTTTTGTACTTAATAATGGTCGGAAGAAAGTAGAGCAAACAAACAAAGCCACGGCATTTGGGCCTTCTTTTTTAGGGTAAACTATATGTTTAGTACCTAAACTATTACTTTAGTTTTATTTTGGTACCTAAACTTTATGTTGTTTTAGAATCATACTTAACGTTTAATTTATGTTTCATTAGTACCTTATCGTTAAAAACTTAACGGTGATGCTGAAATTTCATTATAAGGTGTTGTCATGTTATTATTGAAAAATATAACATGCCATGTCAATAGTTCTATTAATTTTTAATGGAAGGATACCCAAATGAAACCTAAATTAAACATTAGGTATAATTTTGAAACAAAATAAAACTTGAGTACCAAAACGGAACAAAAATGATATTTAGATACTAAATATGTAATTTACTCTTTTTATTCATTAATTTTTTAAATATTATATGAATCGGCATATGCCCCATTTTAGGAAATTAACCGGGCTATGTGAGAAATGATTTGTTTTATATGATAGTATATTATAATATTTTTTACTCTATTAATAACAGACATATACTTTAACATGACTATTTGAATTTAAGTCTTTTAGAGAGATTAATATTTTCTTTTATAACTTTATATATACACTCATATCATAAGATAAAAATATTCAATCGTTCTTGTGATGATTTGATCATATCTCATTTATTTAAACATATAAACATGTCGAATATAAATATATAGTGACTTTAGTATATAATTCATTTTCAATCGTATCATATAAATACATAAATAAAGTTATGTATGTAACTCCCATAATAAAAATAAGAGTCCATTTCAACCCAATATCTAATCTTATCAAAACTCCTTGGGAAGGCCACCTAATGTATATTATGGTCAAATATAATTGGTTTCTTCCTCGTAATCCTTAATTGACTTCTAGAAGAACACATCAAGACTTTCATTTTAGTCAAAGTTGGTGATGCCTCTTATTTTCTTTCCTTGTGTAGCTCTTTCCCATTTTTCCTTTTTGAGAAAGTCTTAGTATGCGTATTAAGGTGATGTAACCCTCCTTTTTGAGAAAGGTAGATTTTATCTTTTCTCTTATCTTGGGAGGACTCCAACCCGTGAAAGTGACATGGTTTCCGTCCGGTTGAAAATGATATATTTGAATTGGGTTTATTAGGAGAATGACTAAAGTTGTAAATTGCCCCTAAAGTTACCTAAAGGCTGAAAACCATTAAGGGAGATGATGTCAATGGGCAGAAGCTTTATTCCTCTTTTTCATCCAACCTTCTCTCATTCTCTTCTCCATTCAAATTCATTATTCTTTTCCTCTTTTGGTGGATTTAGAAAAGGCGATAACTTTGTAAATCTTTCCTCTCCAATACGAAAATCTAAGGTAAGAAATGGAACCCTCATCCCTCAATCATTCATACAAGTGTTCTTTTGTAAACTTTGGCCATGGGAAAACTAAGTGGGGGTTTAAGATGAGTTTTGAGATTTTGGGATTCCTTGGTGTTCTAATCCGCTTTTAGAAATTAGGAAACATGTTTATAACTTTCCTAAACCTTTAAACTGGTTGGTAACTCATTTTCATTGATTATTATATTGAGAGAAGTGGGAGAAAACTCAAAAGTGAAGGGCAAGGAGAAAAAGGTCCTTGGGAACTTTGAGTTGTTCTTCAGTCCCTAGGCACAAGGTAACCTACTTCTAACATTCCTTTACTACTTGTAGATCACCATATAGAGTTATGATGCTTGTGTGAGTCCATGAAACTATTTGTGTGTATTTGGAGGTTCTAAAGCATGAAAACGGGATTAAATGTTATTCTTGTATAAATTAAAGACCTTTTATGGTCCTTGTATGCCAAACAAGCTTTAAACATCGAATAGGGACCTTAGGAATGCTTTAGGATGAATTTGGGAGGGTCTTAGTTGAGTGAAACAAAGCATTATGGGTCGAGGGTATCAGTATTGTAAGAATAGTACCATGCTGCCCATGATGAAGGAACAAAACTCAAAGAGTTTGTGAAGAGAGTATCGATACACTATCTAGGAGTATAAATACTGCTCGAATGGTATCGATACTCAGGGCCTAGTATCGATAATCGGGGGATTTTTCAAAACATTGAACGTAAATTTACTACCGATACTCGGAGTAGTATCGATACATAAATAGGATTATCAATACACTTGTGAATGTTGTGCTATAACTCTATTTTGGAATTATAAGGGAAACCCAAGGGGTTCGATGGGTGAAACCTCCTAATAAGCCTACAAGTGGAACACCCTAACAAATCGTATAAGAACATTAGATCTTAATGAGGTAAGATTCCATAAGACTTATGTCTTGTTTGATGCTCGGGAAACGACAAGGACACCAGAGCCACTTGAATGACGTTTGTGTGGTAGATTAAGGATTATCTGGATATATCCAGCCCAGTGCTTGGCACCTTAAAATGCTAGTCGGATGAGGTGTCGATGCTAAGTGACCTAGTTCTATCCCAAGTACTCTAAATGAGTAGATTAGTCGAGTGAGTTCCAATGCTATGCGACCCGTACTCAGCTTGAGTGGTAGGGAGACACCGATGTTGTGTGACTCGGGTCCCGTCTAAGGTTCTTAAGTAAGCAAAGAGGGGTGTCAGTTTCGTGATACTAAGTGACCCTGAGCTACACTATGATGCTTAGTCTTGCTGTTGTATTAGTGTATACCAATGTTCACAACTATACTTGTAGCATGCCCATGTGTTGAATGCATGTAGTATAGTAAGTTTATTTGTGTGACACCTAGCTTGTAAGCTCAGCGTATGGAACGTGTTTCTGTGCACAGGTCTTTCAGTGCCAGATCGAGGAGTTCGTCGCCGGATTCAGGACTTCCAGATTTGATCTTTATTAGTGTGCATCTCGTATGTTATAGAGGGCATGTACCATCATAGACCCAATTGCTTATTGAGTCGTAACTCTATTTTTACTTATGTATTTTGGAGATTTTTGTTGGGAGCTCACCGTATTTTAAGCATTTATATTTTGTAAACTTTTATCACATTTTGATTTTTATATTATCATGAACGTCGTATGGGGTAATCGATTTTAAAAAAATGGTTAACTACTTGTGGTTCCTTGTGACATTCTAATCATCCAAACCTTGGGTCGGATCGGATTAGGGTGTTACAATGTAAGGCAAATTAAGCATATGATAATACAAACACCATTTAGCTGAAATATTATATGATGATATTATCAATCTATCCTATATTATACATAATATATACATATAACATATATACACAGACAAATTAAGCATATCCATATAGTCGAATTAACCAAATATACTTTTAATTTCATAAACACATCAACTATGATTGTCATATACTTTTATTCCGTACATATACGCATACTAAACATAAGGCATGAAGTCAAAATATACCTTCCACTTTTAAACACCTCTATTGGTATTAAACATGCTTTTATTATTATATCTTTATTGAATTAATTAATATTTAAGAATTTTATATCTAAACATAATTAAGAGAATATTATAGATAATTCAAATCAATCGTATACCTGTAATCACATTTCAAATAATTTAATTCATAACCTTTAACACATTATATCAAAGAATTTTATTTCATTCAAAACACATTTATAATGACCTAAAATTTTTAGGTCAATATTTGAGTATAGACCCGAATCATAAATAAACTCAGTAAATATGATTAGAGAAATAATAAAAAGCTGGAAGTCTCACACTGAATTCTCATATAAATGAAATAGAAACTTCTATTTTGTTCTTTCATTGTCAGTGAATTAAACAATTCGTATGGCTATATAAGTCGGGTTCTGTATATGGTTCGTAATGTACACCAAAATAAGGGAAAGCAAGCAAGTTTCCGAGCAGAACGATAACAGAGGAAAATATATTGGATTCATAATACGACCGACACATGATTTTACGTTTCGAAGATAAATTTATAAAATTTTAAAGAGATATAAATGATTTTATATAATTTTTTAATTTTCTTGTGATAATGCGGAAAAGTGTGTCATGTCATTACACCTTAACACCGTTACCAAAATGGTGGGCAAAGTGTGATAAGAGTACAAATTTTTTTATTAATGTAGACCAAAAATAGAATTTAAGTACTAATATGAAAGAAGTGAACTAATTCAGGTACCAAAATGTGAGGTAGGTGAGGTGGTTCAACTATATTTTGTGTCAATAACAAAGCCAGTTAGTTACCCTACGTATTAAGTAACCCAGAAAACAGAAATATAACAGAACACAACAATCACATGCACTCTTATTTATTAGCTCCTAATACACAACATTAATGGTATTTTACATGCTCCAATCAAAATACAACACCAAATCAACAATCAGATTGCAGTTTTCACAACGTCCAATAACCTTACTATTGCAAACTATGTTTGCTTATTTAGGCTACCAGTGCCATACAATACATACACAGTCGTATACGCCAAACGTACATAGTCGAAACCGGAAGTGGAAGGGACAGGGTTCTGTTTGTGGAATGCTGGTTCTTACTGCTGAACAACGCATTCTTGCGTCCCAGCCACCATGGTGCGGTGGGACCGTTTGGGGATGGTGTTCTTTTCTTCAATGGGATCCTTAAGCATAGTATCGGCAGTGTTTTCGATGATATCTTCGCCATTGGAAATGGCTTCGAAGATAAGTTCCTTCACTTCACAGAACCTCTCATCAGAGAGAGAAACCTCAGCGAGTAGCCTCCAAGCATTTTCATCGGATGCCTCATCATAGTCCTTCCTCCTTTTTAACACCATGTGGCCGCTAATTTCCCATACAGCCGGGTTCACCTGGGTGTCCAGAAGCTCCGGACTCACTTCCCCAAGAGCTTGTTTCTCAGCATAGCACTGTTGGGTCAATCGACAAATTGGAAATTCAATTGTAAGAAATAGCAGCATCATGTAGATAATTAAGTATCGATTAACTTAATTTATTAATTACCTGTGGAAGGAGAAAGATCCGCTTTCCACAATCAGAGATGAGGACATTATATGGTATGTTGTTCTCTTGAAGGCAAATGCAGGCATCGGAGACAGCGTCGGACAAGTCCTGAAGAGTGTCACCGCCCTTAAAGACAAGACCCCTGACCGGATAGTTTAAAAGCTCTGAGATGAGCACTTCATCATTCAAAGTGGCTATCTTCTTAGTGGGAGCTTTCTCGATGGGGAAAGGCACAGCCAAGTAGTAAGCCTGCAACGATCGGAATAGTTAAGTCACCTAAACCACAACTATACCCAACAGATAGATATATCCTGATGGAACAAACTAAGATGTTAGTACCTGGAAGTGAAGGTGATTGATTGTAGCAAATGCACCCAAGCTGTTGTAACCCAATCTGAAATACGGATTCCCGGCTTCAACTGCCATATACAGTGCAAGCAAGAAGCTCTCATGGTCGATCCTCTGAGGCAAGCATTCCAGGATTCGAGGGATCAACAGCACATGTCCGTATTCAATAGGACTGACCTGTCAAATAGAATGGGAACAATGTTTAATCCTACAAGGCTAAGACTCTTGCTAAGCTAGTTATTCTATAGTTTGAATAAGTAGACTTAAAATACATTTATGGCAACAACACTCGGAGCACTCTCAACATCAATTTGAGCACTTGGGTAGAACTGAACTTCACCATCTTCACTGGCTTCAAACTGGAAGAGAACCTCTTCTTGCCCGACCTTGGTGAAATTGAACTTGTTCCCATCAAAGGGCTGGAGAACCTTATCAACACGGAATTCAGTCGGCCTCTTCCTAAGGTGGCGGCCCTCATTCAGCTGAGCAATGAAGCCATATTCACCAGGAATCACCTAAACAACTCAGTTAACCATAAAAAAAATTCAGCTTATTTGCAGGTAAACAATTGAAGCAAGGAAATAGGAAAGGAGCCCAAATTCAACCTTGGTTTCGCAGGCAGTAACATCATATCGAAAGAGTCCTCTTTGCATGCGATCTTCCCACTATCATAAAACCACAAAGTACATTTTAACTTAACAATTTGTACGATACAACGATTATCAACTATCACAATGATCTTAATCTTATTTCTAATAGCAAAAAATTACCTCCCCAAGAATGAGCGAGTCAAGAAAAGCAACAGGGGGCTCTTTCTCCTCAATTGCAAGCACATCGTTTTCAGCATCAATCTTAGTCAGCTTCTTGAAAGCATATAAAGGAATCTTTGCTTCTATAGATCAAAACCCAGTTCAAGTTTAAACCTGAATTCTTCAAACAAACAAGGTTTACATAGTAAATTTAACGAATACCTGGAATGCAGCAGCTCCTAAGGCAATTCTTTCCGCACCCGCCACTACGGCGAGCAGTCTCTTCCGTCTCATCCTTCTGGTAATTCGAAACAACAGTGGGAACCCTCTTAATCCTGAGCATCATCTTGCTAATACTTCTTTTTACGGGCAATTTATTCTTACGATCGATCTAAATAAGCTTCTTCGATAATATTTTTTCCTTTTTTTCCCCTAAATATACTAGAAGCTAGTTATACTAACTACTGAAACTCTAAAAGAAAAGACCACCACCAGCAAGGAAAAGGAGATCGGAAGGACTACCGCCTTCAGAAGGCAAAGCTCCACGCCCACCGTGCGGAGAAGGGTTGCTCTCTATCACACAACTCTTACGTCGTACAGTTCGGGCATGAATAAGAGGTCGGTAAACTCTGTGTATAGCCGTGATGTCCACAATTTGTCAACCCAGGGTATTACCCCCCAAAAAACGAAAAATCCACAATTCAAAATCACCTGTAACCTAATTTTATCAAACACCCCAACCTCTTTAGCTTCAAAAAAAAAAAGACCAGGTTTGCTAAAGAGACACAAAAAGAAAAACCCAAAGCTCAAAAACTTTTTTTCCTGATTTTCTTGGTGAAGGGAAGCATAAGAAGAAAAGGGGATATATAGATAAGAGGGGAGTGACGGAGAAGGCGGGTGGGGCTAGTTTTTTTTTGGAAGGATTGAAGGTATACAGTTGTGAGAAGAAGGTACTATACAATAAAGTAAACAAAGCTTGTGGCCCTCGTGCCTTCTTCAGAGTTACTCTTTTTTTGTGGGCTCAAAGACAATTACTTGCACATGAACTCGAAAATGAAAGGAAGAGAGAATGGAAATGTTTCTCGTTATTGTTGTTTTTCTTTTCTCTAATTCATCCGTACGATACGAGGCTCAGGTGGGGGATAAGTAGTTTGCCGGAGATAGTGAGCTCAGGGACTCGGAACCCAAGTCCGGCCGTACGGAAGAGAAGGATGTAGGCTATGGTGGCTCTGGTCTGGTTGGCTCCTGCCAAAATTGAAATTGGATTTGTTCTATTTAATTAAAATGACTATTATCTCAAACCACTGACGTCGGAAATGAAAAACAAAAACACTGGCGTCGGAAATACTACCTTTTCCTCGTATTTTGGAAATATATTATTTAGAAATAAAAAAAATACATGTTATGTTAGGGTATTATCTTATATAATCTAATTTAAATTAAATTAATATTTTTTGAATAATTTAAACTGATTATATTATAGCATAATATATGTTCAAATTTTTTTTAGCTTATTATAATGTACATACGTATAGCATAATATGATTATTATTTTTTCAGGTTTCAGGTTTAAGTACCCCTAGCACCAAAATATTTAAGCTTTCATCTATAAATGATTAAGTCTTTCGAATATATATTACCACTTATAAGCACCCTAGATTAATAAAAAAATTGGTAAAAATATCATTGTTGCATTTTCTTATATTTTAATAACCAATCACATTATATATTAAATGAATATGATAGCATGACATTATTTAATAAAAATTATATTCTCGTAATTTATGTACTTTATCAATTCAATTCTAATTTAAAATAGTTCTTTAGATATATGAACCAATTTATCTCAATGGTTAAATGAATCGTTGTTGTTCCTAGAGGTTACAGGTTTGAGCACCAGCGATTGCAGCAACGTGATTGAGCATTCATTGTCAAATGATTGTGAGTATTTAGAACAAATATTATTTTATAACCACCTTAGCTTAATAAGTATCTATGTTGATCGATATTGTTGTATAAAAAAGGCATTAACTACTAAGTTACCATGAAAAAACATGTTTTGTCTTACTTTTGCATAATATAAATGGTTTCATACTTATAACTTAAACGGTTGACATTAAAAAAAAGTGTTACCTAGTATGTTGTCATGAGAAATATGTTTTTTTCTTACTTTTACATCATATAAATTGTTTTATACTTATAACATAAACAACATTAAAACAAACGCACTATCTACTATGTTATTACAAGCATAACAAAATAAGTTAAAAGCTTAAAAAAATATGAATATTTATAAAAAAATCAAAAATATCGATATTTGTGAAAAGTATTGATACTTTGTAGCTTCTCATTTTCTATGTTTTCTTTAAATTTGAAAGTATCAATACTCTTTGAAAAATATTGATACTTTACAGCATTCTCATTTCCATGTTTTTTTAATTCGAATGTATCGATACTTGTGAAATAGTATTCATACTTTTGAATTTAAAAAATGAAAAATGATATTTTAACTTTCAAATTTAAAAGTATAGATATTTTTGGAAAAGTATCGATACTTTACAGCCTTATGATTTTTCATATTTTTTAATTTAAAAATATCAATAATTGTGGAAAAGTATCCATGTTTTCTAATTTTTATAATAAAATATTAACATTTCATATCACAACTTATTTTCTTAATGAACCATAACATTTTTTGGCGTAACCCATCTTATCAAAAAAATGTTAATATTTCAAATCGCAACTTATTTATTAGTGAACCATGATATTCTCATGTTATTAATAAAAAAAATATTAACATTCCTTATCGCAACCTATTTCTTAGTGAACCATGACATTCTTAAGTGCAACTCATTTTATTAATAAAAATATTAACATTTTATATCACAACTTATTTCTTAGTGAATCATCACATTTTTTTTGGCACAACCTATTTTATTAATAAAAATATTAACATTTGACATCACAACCTATTTCTTAGTAAACCATGACAATTTTAGGTACAACTGTATTTCTTATATATATTCATAACATTTTTCACCTTTTAACTTATTTTCTTATCGTTAGAAAATCCAAGGCTCAATCAGCTTAAACTATGGTAACATTTTGGACACAACCTAAAATGTTAAAATATTCATAACATTTATTGTTTATATAACACCCCTAGACCGATACATGTGACTCGATCTAATCCAAGGTGTCTCATTAAGGCCACCAAAGCGACCTATATTAAATAATCTGAGAAAAAAGCAAAATTTTCTTAAAACTATTTAAAAATCATAAAACAATTTATAAATAAAAGCATAAGTCTGAAAAATCATACATATATTAAAAATAGAATCCATAATATTTAGTATCAAAACCACTTCCAAACTCTAATATATAGATAAATAGTGACCTACATGCCCCCTAATTACATATATATTGTACTCTGTAAGTAACACCGACGGAACTCTCATTATTGATGTCGATAACTACACAGGGTTGATGCTTTAACTTGAAATGGTAAATAATAGAGTGAGCTTTGGAAAAGTTCGGTAATAGAATACTACCAAAATATGCTAAAGGCCAAGCAGATATATGGTGCAACATGAAGATTACCTTAGCTATCCATGCATAAATAGGTCATAGTGAAGAGTTGAGCTTTCACAAATTAATTCTTTTGGTAATAGTCAAGAAGCTTATAGTTAAGAAAAAACATTAAGAGGTACATATTCGGAAGATGGATTTGGGGAGTCTAGTGTGTTCCAATAAAACCAAAAATAGTAGTTTAATTCGGTAAAACATTTTTTTAAAACACAGTAATACCCTCCACTCAAACACTCCACATGCAGTTCTCTAGAACTGCATCTATACGAACTTATCCTAGGCTAATTAGGCGTAGGAACCAACCTAAGGGGGTATCTTGGGGCCTCTAGACCTATCCAAGGGTCCCCTTAGGTCTGTAAGGATTTACAAACTTGATCAGAGCTAAACCTTCGTACTTAGTATCCTACCCAAGCAATACCTTAGAAAAATTAGACTAAGCAATGAACCATAATATCATTATCGTGATCTAGTAAAATATCGTAAAAGTGATAATAAAGTTTATTTAAATCACATAACAGTCCTCCACATGTACACCAATATGTAATCCCCATAACTGCATCCATAAGGACTTACCCTATACTCGATGAGTATAAGATCCAACCTAAGGGAGTACCTTGAGGCTTGTAAGCCTACCCAAGGGTCACCTTATGTCCATAAAGATTTACTAGCTTGATCAGAGCTGAACCTCCATACTCCAGAATCATACTTAAACAGTACCCCAATAAAACAGTTCAAATAATAAACAATAGTTTTAGGATCTATAATTCATGCACATTATATTTTTCAGTAAAAATGGAAATCAAATGACATGTATTAGGTAAACAAAGTTTGAAAATCATTAAATAAGGTATCATAATTTCCATAAAGATAATTCTTTAATAAATCAAAATAGATAAAATAGTCGTGCTTCAGAGCATATAAAATAGTTATGTATCATACAAGGAGCACACTAGAAGATTTAGATTATTATTCAGAGGGACTTGATAGTTATCAGAAAGGGAAAACATAGAACTTTGTTGATTGATCGGATTTCAGATATCTGATCCCTATTAAAAGAGTTCGATTACTAACGAATCTAATCAAACATTTAAGAATTAATGTTTCAGCCCCCTTTAAAATTTGAATGCATTAGGAAGGAATTCAGAAATCTTTACATCTAAATTGTTGAAGATTTATGTATAACATGAGTTATTCCATTAACCATGCAATTAGGGGCATTTTAGACATTTTGATTCTTGAAGAATTCTTAGTAATTTAGCCCAATAAAGGTAATACAATAAATTTTAATATTCAGGGTTTATCTCAAATTAATCAAATTTTTAGTTAAATCGAACTAAACAGATCCCAACACTACGATACTTATCAATCGTTCAGACCGAGATACTTCATGAATATTCACCTCTTAAAGTTGATTGCATTAGTTGAACTGATCACCCTTTAGAATCAGTGTCCATAATTATCCAAATGTATCTACTTATTCTAGGTCATGAGAGAGTTTTAGAGTAATTTGGTCGTTTCAACAATTCAGATACATACAATACTTCCATTCAATTCAACATTTTCATATAATATAGTCATTTCGAACAATTCTGACATACAAGGTACTTTCAGTAATTTAGTCTCCGAATGTTCGCTCAGGAATCATAAATTCTAGGTCATTTCCCCATTTTGAGGATATTTCAATCATTTCATTTAATTCTGTCATATATATTAGTTTTGTCAAATTAGTCTTTAGAAGTTATTCAAGAATCATAATTCTAAGTCTTTTACCATCTCAGAGGTTATAATCGATTATTAAGGTTTTCCAAGCAAAACAAGCATTTAATATGTAAATCAGTAGTTTTATAGGGTCAAGTATAGCTTATAGTATTATTTCCAGTTTTAGGAACAATCATTGTCTTTTTACATCCCAATGGTATTTTCATAATTTATTATCCAAGTATTTCCGGCATTAAAACCTTTAAAGAAAATAATTAAAATTTAAGGATCCCTAAGTTAATCGAATAACCAATTATTCACTGGACATGAAATTATTTATTATCGACTTTCTAGTTCCTTAAACAAGTCAATCTGAGTTTTATTCAGTTTACTGCCATTTCACCATATACAGTACTAGTTTCCAAATAAACTTCGATAAGCACATGGCCAATTTTTTTCATTCATGCATTTACCAATAATCAATGAGTTTCGTAAAGTATACAATAGGTAGTATAGTATTACCTTGATTTTTGAGCTACCTTGATCGATCAATTTAACTCTATTCGATCACTCTTGAGCTTTAGTTTAATGTCCCCTAATATCTAGGATACAAAGCAAAACGAATTACGTAAAAAACAACAGTTAATTAGAAAAAATGATCGAATCAAAAGATAAAAAACTAAAAAATATCTTACTAAGTTTGAATTTGGTAAAATGGGCCCCAAAAATAGACTCAGGACATCGAAAAACATTTAGATAATTATTCCCAAAAATGTCAATGCTCGGTCAACTAAACGATCAACGGATACTCAACGGTTAACGATTGGACGGCTTGACTCACGGCTCGACTCGAGCCGCGGCTTGGCTCGAATCATCACTAAACTCGGCTTAGATCAGTGTAGACCAGTTCAAACCGATTCGATTAGTTTTCTAGAACTCACTGGATGGAAGATAACCCCACGTGTAGTGGCGACGCGTGGGGTACATGCAACATCTTACGGTCGTCGGAGAACCACCAAATTTTCCAAAATCATGAATTTCGTGATTTCAATCTAGTTCCCATGCTCGGTTCGAGATGGAAAGCATTGAAAAAGCTATTTCATAAAAGGTCAAACTAAACCGTTGTTCACCCCCACGATGGTATTGGCAACAGCGAACCTCCAGTACCAGATGAAGCGAAACCTCGAGATGGTTCACTTGGTTCTGACGGTGAGCCTTACCTGTGGCTAAATGATGATAAATCAAAGACCGAATAGGTTTATTCAAGAGTGGATGATCGGGTTTTAGTCGCAGGGTAAGGACGATGTCGATGGCAACGACAGTGCACGACGCAGATCGTTGGTAAAGGGGATTAATGATGGCATATGGATGAAAATTGATTTTAGGGGAAAAAATTGATTTGGGGGGAGGGGTTCCTTTAGAATCACCATTGAACGGATCTTGAGGAGACGAATACGTATTACATGGGTATTTATTTATGTATTGCAGTAATATCAAGAATGATCGATGTGCTTGGGTCGTGCTCCATAATCTTTAGGGGCAATATCATATTTAGATTTATCGGTGTTTCTAGAATTATTCAAAGACGTCCCCTTATGCTAGGTCGTGAGGTTATTTAGGTCATTCAATACTTGAGTTTATCTTGGTCATTTCAGAGTTTCAGAGTAATTTGGTCATTTCAACAATTCAGATACATATAATATTTCCATTCAATTTAACTATAATATAGTCATTTCGAACAATTATGACGTACAAGGTACTTTCAATAATTTAGCTTCAGCATCACCTTGATTTCTTAGCTACACCGATCGATCAATTAAACTCTATTCAATTACCCTTGAACTTTTGTTCAACATCCCATAATATCTCGGATATAATGCAAAATAAATTACGTCAAAAACAGATCAAATCGAAAGATAAAACACAAAAAAAAAGCTTATAGAATT